TTCCTGGAGGCGGCGCGAAACGGCAATGGCGGTCCTCTTCGGTCTCTGAAGAGGGGCTCCGCAGAAAAGGGTCGTCCGCTGCGGCACAGCGGTGACCCATTAAGAAAACCATGGGCAGAGTGAGCCCGTGGCCGTGGGACTCGGCGGACACCAGGAGCGACCCCTAAATCGAAGAAGGAACCCCGTAAGGGGCTCCGGAAACGTGGAAGTGGGGAGCGGTGCTGTGAGTTCATCGCTCTTTCTGCGGGAGTGAAGCCGCGCGGCTGCTGCTGATGAGCGCCGACCTTTCTTCTTGGAACATCAGGCTCTAAACTACCTACTCGTGAGTAAGGATCAATCATTTTGGGACTAAAAGTGTTAAATTTGGCTGAAAGCGGGAGACGATAAACAGGAAGTCCGTCTTCCGGCAGTGCTTTAAAGATCAAAGGCAAAGATTTTAACAAGCGGGAAGCAGTTTTAAAAGATTATAAATTTGGGACTATTGTGTTGATAGAATTGGCTTTTAAAAGAAGGAGAAAAGATTTTTATTTCTAAGTGTTTTGGACTTTAAATGGGACTTTCCTCCCCTTTATGGATTATAAAGAATTAAGAACCAAACCTCGGACTGACTGAAAAAAGAGAGCTGTCATTGCGGAAATTGTATCCAAAATAGAGACTGTTACAGTTGAGTGATACTGGCAAGATACAATTAAATAAACTGTTACTGGCACCTTTTATCTGAGACTTTGTGGCAGCTTGGGAAGTGCTCTGTAAGCTAAAAAGTTTATGAAGAACTTTTGGTAAATTAGACTGTTTTGAGGCTGCAGGGACTTTAATGGCGGATAAAGTTCTTTCCTTTCTATGAACTACAGTAATACTCCCCTAGTGGAGTTCTGGAATTACAAGTGCCTGGGAACAAATTTTATTTGGACTATCTGCTGCTCTGTTATTTACACTTTGGAACTGTCCTTCCCATGGGACAATATACAGCTTGACCTTGACTCATAGACAGGTGTGGAATGAGTGGCCAACCGAAAACAAGATCTGCGAGAACGAAAGCAAGACAAGCCCAACTTGTGCAAACAACTTTGACTACTCAGTCACGTAGATCATCTGTCCCAGCTGTTTTGGGAGTACAAGAAAAGGAAACTGCACAGCCTGCATCAGAGGATATGGCAGAGGGAGGATCAGATACCTTCTTACAACAAATGTTAGAACAATTTGCAATATTGAACAAGAAGGTGGATGACCAATCGGCAAAAATAGATCAAGCCACATCCTCTATTACTAAATTGTCTGACCAAGTTGCACAACATACACAAGTTATTGGGAATCTTAAGGAAGCAACTGTGGAAAATCGGAGACTGGCTGAAGCAGCCAATGAAAAAGCAGAACAAGCAAATCAAAAGTTGAGGCTATAAAAGGGAGGTAAGGCCACTACACAAGCACATTAGTGATCAGCAGGCTTACCTGTCTATGGTGGAATTGAGAAACCGGGAAAACAATCTGAGATTAAGAGCTATCCCAGAGCTTGAACAGGAAGATTTAATTGGTTATCTGACAGCAGAATTTTCCAAGTTCTGGGGTATAGAAGAGGACAAAGATTTCAAGATCACAACTGCGTTCAGATTAGGAAGAGTCGTGAGGAGGGACAAGCCCAGAGACTGTTTGATTATTTTGAGATCCAAGCAGGAGAGAGATAAAATACTAGGCCTCCACTTTAAGAAATCACTTGATATCCAAGGCAAAAGAGCAGAATTTTATAGAGATATTCCTAAACAACTTTTGGATCTCAGAGCCACATATACAGACCTAGCAAGACTACTGAGAGGAAACGCGATTCCATATAGGTGGGAGTTTCCCCAAGGTTTATCTTTTAATTTTAAAGGAAAGAAAATTAAGATTAAAACATCAGAAGATAACCAGAAGTTCCTGCACGACCACGGAGAAGACCTTCAGAAGGGAGCAGCAGCCTCTTGGCCACCGCCACTGCCTGGAAAAGCACCGATACCTACACCCTCGGGGCCGGAAGAAAAGGAAGACACCCCACTATAGGAACAACAGATTGATTCAGAATGTCTCTGCAGCTGTACAGTTGGAATATAAATGGCGGGAATTCCCCGGAAAAAAGACGAAGGATTTTTCATATTTTGAAAAAAGAACAATTGGATATTGTTTGCTTGCAGGAAACGCATGTGACTAGGCTCCATAGGAAAGTGTTAATTAACAAAAGACTAGGCCAAGAATTTATTTCATCAGACAAAGTCAAGAAAAGAGGCGTAGTGATTTATGCAAAGGAGAACCTGTCACCGAAATTTCTGTTTAAAGATGAGCAAGGAAGAATTTTGGCAATTGAGATACAAACACAAGGAGAAAAGTTTTTGATTTTAGGAATATATGCACCAAATGAGGGAAATCGGAATTTTACAAGAAGCTGCATGAGATAATGCTGGACTATCTGGACTATACCAACATCATAATGATGGGCGATATGAATGGGGTGGTTTCTACTCACATGGATAAGTCACAAAATCAAAATTTAACTAAAGACGGCAGACTACCTAAAACCTTCTTTGAACTAACTGATAACATGGACTTGATTGATATTTGGAGGACAAGGAACCCCTTAGGTAAAGAAGGAACATTTTTTTCTGAGGCCCACCTATCATGGACAAGAATCGACCAAATATGGACAACTAGAGGACTGGCACCTAAGATCAGAAAAGTGGAAATCTGTCCAAAGACTTGCTCCGACCATAATGCTTTGAAAGTGGAATTGAGACTTACTCCAACCGGTTCTTTCAGATGGAAAATGAATGACACCCTACTAAGAGATCAGGAGATTGTGAAGAAGGCCCAAAAAACTTTAAAGGACTATTTTGAAATCAATTTGAACACTTCGGTGGAAAAGAGAACAATCTGGGACGCAAGTAAAGCTGTAATGAGGGGGTTTCTGATACAACAGAACACAATCAAGAAAAAACTTTGGAATGGGAAAAAAGATAGGATATTAGAGAAGATAAGAGAAGGAGAGAAAAATTGAGATTAAAACCAAAATCAAAAGAGGTTTTAAGAGAAATCAAATTCCACCAAGCTCAATATGCGAAATTGATAAATCAAGAAGTGGAATGGAAAATCAAACAAATGAAACAAAGATCATTTGAATCGGCAAATAAATGTGGAAAACTGCTAGCATGGCAGTTGAAAAAGAGACAAAAATTGAACTTTGTCACTAATCTAGAGGTGGAAGGGAGAAACATTCAGAAACCAGAAGAAATTAGAAAGTGTTTCCAGAAATATTTCAAAAACTTTATACACAAGGGCCTCAGGAAGCGTCTGAGATAGATCAATTTTTAAAAGTTAACGGTCTATCCAAACTATCTCAGGAGAAGAGGACAATCTTAAATAATAGAATAACACGACAGGAAATAGAGGGTGCCATTCAGAATATGCAACTAGGTAAATCTCCAGGCCCAGATGGACTTACCTCCAAGTACTATAAGACACTAAAAGACTATTTGATACAACCACTAATGGAGGTCTGTAACCAGATTATGGAGGGGAGGAGGGCACCGGAAACGTGGAAAGAAGCTTTCATCACATTGATTCCTAAATTGGAATCTGAAAAGACTCAGCTTAAGAACTACCGTCCCATCTCACTCCTAAATGTGGATTACAAAATTTTTGCTGATATTTTGGCGAGCAGACTTAAAAAATACTTAACGAAGTAATTCATAAGGACCAGGCAGGCTTTCTCCCAGGGAGATATCTTTTGATAATACCAGGAACATTATTGATATTTTGGAACTTTTACAAACTAATATCAATACGAAAGCTGTGTTAATTTTCATCGACGCGGAGAAGGCCTTTGATAATATTTCTTGGATGTTTATGAAGAGAAACCTGGAAGGGATGGGAGTGGGACGGGGGTTTGAAAATGGAATAGAAGCAATTTATTCTGAGCAAAAAGCTAAATTGATAGTAAACAATGTGGTGACAGATGAGTTCAAAATTGAAAAAGGGACACGACAAGGGTGCCCCCTATCCCCCCTTTTATTTATTTCAGTCCTGGAGGTGTTACTGAACATGATTAGGAAGGACCGGTTGATACAAGGAATACAGGTCGGAGCGAAACAATATAAATTGAAAGCTTTTGCAGATGATTTGGTTTTAACATTACAGGAGCCAGAATCTAGTACAAAAGAGTATTAGAATTGATTCATGAGTTTGGTCGGGTGGCGGGATTTAAGTTGAATAAGCAAAAACTAAGGTTTTGGGGAAAAACTTGACACCCTCAGAAATAGATGGGTTTCAGAAGGAAACAGAACTAAGTGTGGTAAAAAAAGTGAAATACCTAGGGGTTCACTTGTCAGCGAAAAATTTGAATCTATTTAAAGACAACTATGAAAAATGTTGGCTGGAAATCAAAAAAGATTTGGAAATCTGGTCAAGATTGAAACTTTCCTTGTTGGGTCGAATTGCTGCTATAAAAATGAATGTATTGCCGAAAATGTTATTTTTGTTTCAAACCCTACAGATTGTGGACAGAGTGGAATGTTTTGGAAAGTGGCAGAAGGATATATCTAAGTTTGTCCGGCAGGGCAAAAGCCCCGGATAAAGTTTAAAATACTAACTGATTTGAAAGAAAGAGGGGGGTTTGCCCTGCCGGACTTGAGATTATATTATGAAGCTGCGGCCTTCTGCTGGATGAAAGATTGGTTACTTCTTGAGAACACTGATGTTCTAGATCTGGAAGGGTTTGATAATGCTTTTGGTTGGCATGCATATTTGTGGTACGACAAGGCAAAGGTTCATAAAATGTTCAAAAATCATATTGTTAGAAAATCAATATTTATGGTCTGGACAAAATACAAGGACTTATTAGAGGGTAAGACTCCGAGGTGGCTTTCACCAGCAGAGGCCAAGGCCCGGAAAAAACCTAATATGGAGGTTGGTTGGCTGAAATATGGGGAAATTATAGAAAAAGTAGGAGAAACTTGGAGGCTGCAGAGTTATGAAAAATTAAAGAATAAGGTGCAAAATTGGCTTCACTATGCTCAAATTCAAGAGGTTTTTAAGCTGGACAAAAGAACAGGTTTCCAGGTGGAAAAATCGAAACTAGAGACAGAATTGTTGGAACCAAAGACCAAGGTACTTTCGAGAATGTATATCTTGCTGCTTAAATGGAACACTCAGGATGAGACAGTTAAATCAGCCATGATAAAATGGGCTCAGGACATTGGGTACAACATTATGTTTGAAGACTGGGAAAGGTTATGGACCACTGGTATGAAATTCACGGCATGTAATGCCTTGAAAGAGAATATTATGAAAATGATATACAGGTGGTACATGACCCCAGTCAAGCTTGCTAAGATATATCATTTGTCTGATAATAAATGTTGGAAATGTAAGGAGGCTGAAGGGACATTCTTTCACCTCTGGTGGACTTGCCCAAAAGTGAAGGCCTTCTGGGAAATGATCTATAACGAGTTAAAAAAAGTGTTTAAGTACACTTTTCCCAAGAAACCAGAGGCCTTCCTACTGGGCATTGTCGGTCAGAAGGTGTTAAAGAAGGATAGAACCTTTTTATGTATGCAACTACAGCAGCAAGAATTCTTATCGCAAAATACTGGAAGACTCAAGATTTACCCACGCTGGAAGAGTGGCAGACGCAATTGATGGGCTACATGGAATTGGCCGAGATGACCGCCAGGATCCGAGATTTGGAGGAAGAAGCAATGGAGGAGGATTGGAAAAAATTTAAAGATTATTTACAAAAATTTTATAAGTTATATGAATGTTAAGAATTCGCATGATTAGGGAAATTCAGCTCCAGCAATAAGATTAAGGTATGGGAAACTAAGCTATATTAATGAAAGGACTAACGTTTAAAAGAACATTATATATATTATTAGTGTAAATTGACAATAAGCATTTTAAACGCAAATCACAAGTATTTGAAAGAACAAAAGAATGCACGAAATAAGGTTATAATTTGCTGAAAAATTTTATTGTAAAGAACGCAAGGTGAGGGGGACGGGGAAGTCCGGTTGGTTATGGAAAAATGTTTTGAAAAGATGATTTTCTTCTTTTTCTTTCTTTTTTCTGTTATTTCTTTGTATATCTGACCTTGTATTTCTATCTGGAAAAATGCAATAAAAAATATTATAAAAAAAAAAAAAAAGCTTAGCGCTAATATTGAAAACATGTTTGCCAAATCTAGAATTGCTTTGAATTACAAGAAATCAACTGCTAAACCTTCATGGTTTTCTGTGAAAATAGCTACATAGCAACATAGAATAACGTGAGCATTTATGGGATCAATAAGCATTTGTAGACTCACAAACCTGGACCAAATGCTCTAGAAAGCATGCCTCACCACCAGCAGATATTGGTCAAATAAAGATATTAGCTGATCCAACCATGTTCTATATTCTTATAAATTAACTTATTTATGCTGTCATGTTTAATCAGGATGGAGATTTGAATTTATTCATACTAAATAACCTTTCTCAATGAGCCATAAACATTGTGCAGTATTTCCACAAAACATGTGCCACATGCCTAGCTGCATTTGTTTAATTTCAGCAGAAGACAGAATGAATTACAGCCCTTTAAAGCACCAAAAATGTAAACTGTCACATTTTCCTCAAAAAGATTAAGCCCCTTGGTACATGGAGCACTACTGTTTGATTTTAGTTTGTCTTCCTTAAGGTTTCATTTTATGATCCTGATAACACTTTGAGAAGAACTTCAAACAGCTGTTTCATCATTTGGCAAGCACAGTGTCACAGCACCTGGGCTTTTCAGAGATGGCTCTGTGTCATATAGTTCCAGATCAGCAGAGTTCCATAGTGAAGAGCATAGGAAAAAGTCTGGTTGGGGTTCCAACACAATATAGAGGACTGTTTCCACTTGACCAAAAAAACCCTAACAATGCGGTCAGTTTGATTTTATCTGTTCCCTTTAGTCTCTTACAAAATACCTCCCCTTAAGATGCTTGGCTATGTGAGCTGGATGTGTTGCTTTTGATTTAGTTGACCTCACCATTCTAGGCTACTGCTGCTGCAGCAGCCTTTGTTCCCAATCATCAACACTTGCTACGCCCAACTGGTGGTGGCCTCAGCACTGTATTGCCATTTGTACCACTCCTCTCTGAGCCTCCTGCTCTCTCTGGGCATCTTCCCTCTCTCCTTCATCTTCCCTCTGCTCCCTCTTCTCGGTTTTCCCACCTACTAGCTCTACGCTTCATCCTGGCTTCTTCAATCACTTTGTAGCTTCTTTGCTCCTTTGTGGTTGAGTGCACCACAGCCCTTTCCTCCTAACCTGACTTGTGTTGCTGGGTCCTGTACTGTTTCTGAGTCCCTCCTCTGGCTGACACCTTGCACTCCACACATATTATCTATGACAGACAGGAAGCAATGGGATTAAAAGGAACACAATCTGATTCAAATTTCTCTACAGTTCGTGCTTGCAAATTGATATTGTATTATGAGACTGAATGTGGTCATGGTAATGTATATATTTCATAAATCAATTGGAAACCTAGAAACTTGTTCTGTTTATGTCATAAATTCACTCTGCAAAGTATTTGCCCTATTATTCAAGACAAATTATTTATGAAAACAGTTTCCTTCACAGTGCCAAAGAGCAGTGCAATTAAGGCTGGCCTTGCAGCATTTGCATGGGCCTCTACATGCAAGTTAATGTATCAGTTCATAGCACTTCTCCTGAGATTGGCCAAGAGTTATCCATTTTGGTTGCCCTTGAGTTCCACCTTTCTTTTCCCAACTTCAATTTGCAGGACTTAGTTACCTTGGATTGCTCGGAACTCTTTCTTTCATACATACCTTCCATTTTTGTGGCATGTGACAGATGCCTGTGTTGGCAGAGAATATTCTCTAGGTATCATGACCTTCTTGAAAACAGAGGCTTCCCTGCCTGATTGACTTCACACAATCAACTGGTTCTACCATGCAGAACTACAAAAAACCTTTTAAAAGTAGTACCATGGTTTTGTCAGGGCTATTGCTAGAAATGTTCGAGACATCTGGAAATATGTTCCATATGTCACAAACTAGCTTTTTGGCTTTCTCAGCAAAGAAAGACATCATATTGTACCTGGGGAATATTAACATAGTTAACATATTTGTTTACCTTGGGTTCTAACTGGCTGAAATTTCATGCGCTGGTGGTGTTTGCCCACAACAAAGTGACTGAAACATGTTACAAGCTGAACACAATGATGATAAAATCCAGCTACCTCTGCTTTCCTGGACATTTGCTGACTGGTATGTGGTGCACCTGATGCATGCAACATCATATTTGTGACAGCTTCCTCATGAAAGCATGGTTCAATGCAATTGTTGTACTGTTTGTCTGGTGACTATGGTACTTGAACCTCCAAGGTGTTGTACACTTGTTTGCCTTTTTAAAAAAATTAACATCTTCTGTCAAGAGATGGAACAGATCAGTTTTATCTTTATTAAAGCAAAGGAGGCAGTTCTATCAACCGACACCCCACACTTTTGCCTCTTCTTTTGTTTCTGCTTGCTGCCTACCTTTGATGTAGGCATCCCACACTATGTCTAGTTTGTCCACATACTCTAGGCATTGCAAAATATAGGGCAGGAAAACTGTCAGTGTATTCTTGAAATGCTTGTGACGTTCCCAATGACAGCATTCAATCTATTACACCACTATCTGGGACCACTACAGACAATTTCAGGCTTTGTTTGTTTATTAAATTATATTGATTGATTTAATTAATATTCAACGCTTCCTCCCAAACAAGCCCAGGACAGCAGACAGACAAGTGATAAAACAAAGGCTTCATCTGCTAGTGTATTGAGCTCCAAGAGATGTTCTGCTTTGCTACTAGAGTTCACTAGAGTTTGCAAACAGTGGAGGCAATGGCTGGTTCTCATGCCTGAACATGTATTCTGCCATCTCAGGATCACTGTACTATGTACAATCTGGAGAAAAAAGCATGACCATTATTCAGTATTGTGACATGGACCTTCCTGCTTTAGAAAAGACTTCTTTCTTGAGAACAGTGGCAGCTTGCTCTTCCATATTCTATCTGTAATTGGTTTGGATTGCTCCAGAATGAATTAACATAAGAGCAGTTTGGTACTAACCATTCAGAGATTTATCAGTTTGCTGGTGTCTAAGTATTGCTGCACTATATGCATTTCTGAATGTCAGAGGATATGGAACCCAGGCTTACATGGTAGCAAAATGGTTCATATTCCAGTATCAGAAACACTGGCAGGAAGACCTCATTGCTCTCTTGGTATTTCAGCACTCAACATTCCCATCAGCAGCAGTTTAGGCTTCAGTTCTATGCCCACTTTCCTATTGAACTCAATGAAATTTAAATGGCTGTTGAGGGACATAGGATGTGTTGCTGAGGAGAACTCAAGAAGCCGAGAGGGGGCATGGGTAGACCTTACCAGTCTGGAGGCTAGCTTTTGTTATATTCTCCTGCCACTGGGATCCATGTAAAAAAATAATGTTTGCTGGGATCCATATTAAAAATGTTTAGTATATGTCTGCTCCACTACTTCCCCTCTCAGCATGCATGTAAAGTCAAATCAAGTTCACTCAACTTTGCCTACTTCTTTCTTACATAGATCTTGAAACAGTCAGTGCCATGAAATTTCCAGGAATAAATTTCTGCAGCCACAAACATGTATAGTTTTCAACCATTGCTGGATCAAATGGTTGAGAGACTAAACACAGAGACTACAAAATTTGATTCATAGTGATTTTTCCATTATGGACAATGTGCTTTCATATTTTCATAATTCTACAGAAATAGGATATATGAACTTTCCTTTTTTTAGTTCTATGAATTTTTCCCCATCACTTTGTGAAGGAAAAAATGCTGCCTTGTTTTTAAGCAATCAAATTAATCCCATCAAAAGCTCAACTAAATATTTTGATTTTTCTTTCAGTCCTTTAACAAATGTGCACCTACCTATGTCTGTACAAAACAGATAATGTAGTAATACCAAGGAGAGTAGACAGACAAAAGCTGAAAGACTGGGGCAAAAATGATTCCTCCTTCAGCTGTTAGTAGCTGTGGAAAGCTTCCCATTCTCATTGGCCTGGCTTGCATGCCACAGTAAGCCAAATTATGGCTTACTGAGACCACACAAACATGCTGGCTCACAGAGAGGAGCTCATACCACCTTTGCTCCTTCCTTGGATTTTTGGCACATGGTGACACTCTTCTCCTTAGCCATGATCTGGTTTGTCCTATAATTTACCTTATGGTGTGCCATGTTCTGTGCTAAAAGGACTGGGAAAAGGAGCCAGCACATTCCCAGGGGCCTGATAAGCTACAATTTGGTTTAGCATGGCATGCAAACAAGGCCACTGTATGTAGATTATATCTGTATTCCTGCATATAGGCTAATATAGATTCTTCAGTAATATAACTATTAACACCCATACTGACTAGACATTAAGGGTGTAATGAGCCCCATGGAGACTTCTTGGAGATACTGGTCAGAGGAGGAATAGGATTAGAGTGCGGAGCTTGATATTGGAGAGAGGCCATGTGTTGGGAGATGCGTTATATGTGTTTGTATAGAAACCTCTGGTATGTGCAGATTTCTGTCACCTACATTGTTACACCAGCTTTTGCATCTGGCCCCCAGAAGGTTGTTCATGAGGGAACATGACCCTCAGGGTGAAAAAGTTTCCACAACTGTGAGCCATTACCTCTTTTATTGTTTTGTTACAAAGCAAGCATGAACCAGATATCTGATTCCCCTTTGAGAGGAGAAAAACACTGGTCTGTTTCTCAGAAATTATTGGTGCTGT